GGGATTTGGGTAAAAATGGGGATTTTGGGCATAAAAACAAATGAGGTTTGGGTAAAAAATGGGGATTTGGGTAAAAATGGGGATTTTGGGTAAAAACCAGTAATTTTGGGTAAAAATGAGGATTTTGGGTAAAAACAAATGGGGTTTGGGGTGAGAAATGGGGATTTTTGGGGTAAAAAAGGGGATTTGAGTAAAAACAAACGGATTTTGGGTAAAAAACAGGATTTGGGGGGGTAAATGGGGACATTTTGGGGTGATTTTGGTTTTTTTTGGGATCGGGGTTATTTTGGGGGTGTTTGGGCTAATTTCACCGGGATTTTTGGGTTATTTGGGAATTTGGGGAGGGGTCTGACCCACCCGAGAGCAGCACGGTGCCCTTGGGGGAGGCCATGGCGATTTGGGATGGGTTATTTGGGGTGATTTTGGTGTTTTTTGGGATAAGGGTTATTTTGGGGTTGTTTGGGCTGATTTCACCGGGATTTTTGGGGTTTTTGGGAATTTGGGGAGGGGTCTCACCCACCCGAGAGCAGCACGGTGCCCTTGCCCTTGGGGGAGGCCATGGCCAGCTGGTCGAAGGTCAGGATGGAGCCCCCGGCCCGCAGGATCCGCGTCCGAGCGCCGCGCGTCACCCTGAGGGCGCAGACCTGCCCGGGGCTCAGCGAGCCACGAGGGCCCAAATCCACCCAAAATCCACCCAAAATCCACCCAAAACCCATCCCCGGAACGGCCAAAATCCACCCCCAAAACCTACCCAAATTACATCCTCAAAACGGCCAAAATCCACCCAAAAACCATCCCCGGAACGGCCAAAATCCACCCAAAAATATATCCCCGGAACGGCCAAAATCCACCCAAAATCCACCCAAAAACCATCCCCGGAATGGCCAAAATCCACCCAAAAATATATCCCCGAAACAGCCCAAATCCACCCAAAAACCATCCCCGGAACGGCCAAAATCCACCCAAAAATATATCCCCGAAACAGCCCAAATCCACCCAAAAACCATCCCCAGAACGGCCAAAATCCACCCAAAATCCACCCAAAAATACATCCCCAAAACAGCCAAAATCCACCCAAAATACATCCCCAAAACGGCCAAAATCCACCCCCAAAACTGCCCTAAATCCACCCAAAATACATCCTCAAAACCGCCCAGAATCCACCCAAAAACAGCCCCGGGAAAAACCCGAAACACCCCCAGAAACATCCCAAAGACGCCCCCAAAAACCAAACCTCCCAAAATCCTGATTTCCCCCTGATTTCCCCCAAAATTCCCGGATTTCCCCCCAAAATTCCCAGATTTTCCCCGAAACTCCCGGATTTTCCGCAATCCCCCGGATTTTGCCCCAAACCTTGAGCTTGGGCACGTCCTGGATGCGAACGTCGTCGGTGACGGTGCCGACCACCACGGCCGTGCTGCCCGCGCGGCCCGGCTTGCGCATCATGCGGATCTGGGGAGGAAATCCCGGGAATTCACCCCAAAAATCCACCGGGAAAT